ATTGCATTCTGTTGTTTCATTTCCTCAATAACTAAATCAACTTCATCCCTATAATGTGAAGGAATACAACAAGGAGCTTTTTTAATTGGAAGTGCGTTTCCAACATTTATTATATGTCGTAAAATTTTGTACTTTCCTAAATCAAAAGATTTTTTCGCACAGATATACATATTTTTCAATAATAGTCCTTCGAAACGGAATTTTTTCACCGGGCACATAGGGCAGCACTGGTGTCTCGTCTATTTTATAAGAGTGCCGAAGGTGGTAATACAGCACTTTTAGGGCGGCGTTGTGTCGGTGAATGTAGGCTGAGCGCGCTAGTATCGGGCAAGCCGATAATACATGGAATAGCGTCTCATCTACATCACCGTGGCAAGCTCGGCATCGTGTGTCTTCGAGTTGCTCGTGCATAACATCACACCGATAGGCGAGGGTGGAAAATACACCATCTTGGCAAGCCATAATGAATCCTTCGGTCTCAGAGAACAAGCCAGCTGACTTAAGGTTTTGGTAAGTCAGCTGGTGTGACGAGTCCTGTGTTTTATATCGACCTTTCGCTGCCCTCTAGTCAATTGCAAAAGCCTTAGACCGTCTGGGCTGCTAGGGTCGAAAACTGAGCCGAGGTTGTGCGCTGCCTGATATGCTGCTCTATATAGGAACGCATCTCTCCCCAATAGTTCAAAGCTGTTCACGAACTTGAGAAGAGGATCAGAGCTCTCATAGATGTCATAAGCCGGGCCTATCACTAACCTGTCATGTAGACACTTCAAACTTAGTAGTCCACGCCCTCCCAGATCACGGGGAAAGTATAGGTGTTGGACAGAAGATCGCGGGTGATGACTTCGATATAACGTCATTACTTTCCTCGTGATAATGTCCAGATCTTTAAGCTCTTTTCAGAGCCATTTAAGAACTCCGAATGAGTATAGCAAGACTGGGGCAGCGAGCATATTCGTGGCTTTGACTTTGTTAGAGCCTGATAATCCAGAGCCTTATATTGTCTTAAGTCGCTACTTGTTCTCACTGCGGAGAGTACCTTTGATGACAGACACGTCCTGTAAAGGAGATTGTGCCTGTCCAAGATATCGGTATGACTCTCCAGCATCGAGATGTTTTATGATGCTCCCGTCTGTAAGCTCGACATTATCACTCCAGTTCGGCGATCTTCCTTTTACTAAGTGGGCAACTGCGCACTCGTCCAACCCAAACTTCATGCCGATTGCACTGGTATACTCGGACACAACCTCTAGGATTGCTCGGAGTCTCTCAGGACTTCCCGCGTACACTTTCAAGTCATCCATATAGAATAGATGTGTGACTTTGTGTACGCGGATGGACACTCGTCCGGCTTTGTATCCAGGCGTTCGGCGTAGAGTGACAGATAATGGCGGCAGTGAGATGCAAAATAGAAGAGGACTCAGGGTATCTCCCTGGTATACGCCTCTCCTTAATGTTTTCAAGCAAGTTTTTGCAAGTTTTCCTTGCAACCTGTCAAGCCACGCTTGCTGCCACGTTGTTCGTTTATCTGTCTCCATACAGGTTCTATTGCAGTCAAAATCCTCTCGTTTAAAATCTTCGTGAACAATTTGTAGAGAGTATCAGACATGCAATAGGCCTGTAGTTTCTAGGGTTATACAGATCACCACTTTTGGGGATCAGCACAGTACGCCCTTCAACGAGCCATCCGGTAATAGGTGTATCTCCTCCTAGATATTCTGAAAAGATACGAGCCAGATGCTGGTGGGATGATGTCTATTTTTCCATTTATTATTTTTATTATTCATACTAAAATTATTATTATTATTATTCTTATCATAACAATTATTTTCATTATGACCTTCAAAGGTCAAATCTTTAATCGACTCGAGCTGTAAAGCTCTCTGAGTTGCTAATTAAAGAGATTTAACTTTCTCCGAACGAAGAGAAAATTGTAACTTTAATCTTTTTAATCCAGAAATGAATTGCAAACCAGCAATTCTATCTCTCTTTTCAAAAGAGACTGAAGGATACGCAAATTTGACAAACCTATTCAAATCATTTCAAAAGTCTGTTAAATTTTTATTTTCAGACTGTTTTCTAGCCTGAAAACGAATAAAATACGCTCTAGAAAATTAAGCTTCACCAAAACGATCTTCCATAATTTTCTTCAATTTTTCGAAATTCCCCAAATCTTCTAAACTCAAATTTACTGAAATAACTTAAGCTTTGTCCTCCAAACAGGACACTAATCGATGCTTTTACTCCATTTGTCTACTTATGAAGACGAGCGATAGTCTCAAATTGACGGAAAGAAAATTCCCACGTCTGCGAACCATTAAATTTGCTGAAGCTAACGAACTATTATTAACCGAAGAAGTTGAGACTAATTCACCCAATCTATTGGAACTAATTCTTAAATAATTGATTTCCAAATTTTTATTATTATTTATCTTGCGATTCGTCAGAGGTGTCTGGCCAGTGATCCCAGGGCTCCGACCCACCTGGAGCCTGACTAGACGGGATTATCCTGCAGACACCCGACTTCCTCAGGTTTGACGTTGAGCCAGGGCTGCAGCCGTTTAGTCATTATTTTAAACGTCCCAGGATTCAGAAAGACCCGAGGATAACTGCTTTCTTCATACGAGCCGCGAGAATCTTAACCTGACTACGGCGGACTGGTATTGTTCGAAGCGCTGTCAGAAACAAAATACATGTCTAGAAGTTTAATGTATCTGTAAATAAGAGAATGTTTTATTATTTAATATGTTGTTTTTTACGTATGAAGTCATTTTAAAAAATTTGGATTGGAAATATGTGAAAATTAAAAATAATCTTCATAGGGTGTCTACTATGAGGGGAAAGAAATACGTGGTTTATTATTTTCGGCATAGATTATTATATAGGAACCTTAGCTAAATTACCTTAGTTTATTACCTTAGTTATATTACTTTTTCCATTTGCTGAATTAAATAGAAGATGGTATGTAGGCTGTAGAATGAATTCTTCAAATAGTTATTGATCACCTATCACCACACTGACGTCATTGATAATTTCTGGACGTTTATAATGCCCTTATTAATCCTATTAGATAAAACTATCTCAAAATGGAGAGAAAATACAATCGATTTGGAATTGAAAGAAATGATGACGGTTGAAAACACAAAAAAAATGACGATGTTATTACAATAATTAAATATCAGTGCTCTGTAGTGGTCTGGGTGCGACCCGAAAGTTTCAGACGACCAACATTACAGCGGAAAAAATTTAAAAACACCTCGAATAGAACCCGTTTCCAATTGTTCATACCAGATTTAATTGTTATAAACAAAAAAAGTTAGCTTTTATTTATGTTAAACAGTGGGTAACTTTTTTGCAGTAAATAAAAAATTACACGTCAATAGGACACAAATATGTTGCATAGATCTTGTTTTCCATTCTTTATACAAATGGAATTGTTATAAACGAAATGAGTGTGTTTCCATCGATTTGATATGGCTAGTTACTTCATTTTAGTAAAAGAAAGAATTGTGCGTTAGAAGAATTCGAATGTACCTCATAGATCCTTTTTTCTATTATTTATAACAAATTCCATTGTTATAAACGAAAAAAGAATGTTTTCATTCATGTCCTACGGTTGGTAAGATTTTTCTAGTAAAATGAAAAATTATGCGTTGAAAGTACTCATCTATATAGCATGGATCTCTATTTTTATTGTTTATACCAATTTAAAACTTTTTATTTGAATATTACCATGATCAATAATCATTTGTCAGTAACAATGTTCAATTGTTATGGACACAACTCCATATTATTAACAATTATTGTGGACAATTAGAGCGTTTTTAATGCTGTTTTTTCAATCCTGACACGAGTTTAAAATTCTTTTATTGCTGATTTTGTTTTAAATTTTTTTTTTGATGAAATATCGTCATCATATTTTTATACAAATATTTTGATGATTCAATATTTATAGTTTTTTAAAGATTTTTAAATTTTGTGTAAAAAATGGTATATTTTATAAATTGCAAAATTCAGGTTGTTTTCCATTTTTGCTAGTTTTTTGGTTCTGCAAAAAAATGGATCCTATATTGATATGATTCTTTGTTCTCGAGATAATTGACCAGGAAAATTCCGAACGAACGTACGTACATACACACAGACGCCCCCTGGAAAAAAATCGTATTCGACTCTGGAGACCTCAAAACGGAGATATTTCGAAATTCGGGCTTCGCAAAATCGGACCCATTACTATAACTTCACACTGGGAAGTTAACAATCATAATCTTTCAATCACTTATGATTAATGCTGCCTGTTACACCTCTCTGTACTTTTTCCAGGTCTTTCTATAGTATTTTTCTCGGGAAACATACCAGAACAAGTCCCGGAAATAGTCCTAAGAAAAGTCTTGGAGATCATAGTTTGAATAGTTAGTGTCTGATTGGAATAATCAAAAAGGATTATTCAAATTTAGAGCTACTTCACTAAAGTAATGATTTTATGCCACAACGTGACAGCAGAGCTTCGAGTGGCAGGAGTCACGTCATGGCAGATGCACCAAAGTCCTTGAAGAGTACAAAGTATTTGTTTTTGTTCAGAGATTTTGTAGTCCCTATCAAGAAGATACACCCAAGATCAGATCATCATTACTCGGTCGCGTCAAATGAAAAAATAAACGAAGAGGAAAGAGCAGCTCAGATAAGGCTTAAAATATTTTTTGAAACGTTTAAGAAAATGATTAAAATACGAAATACGAAATTTCAGTGTGAGAACAACTGACGAATTACAAAACTTCAAAAGGCTCATTGAATTTTCAGCTACACATCAAATATTTGTTACTTTCTTACCGTTTTCCTTGTAATTTAGTTGAAATATTAAGCGTATACTGTCCAGACTGATTCCAGAAACAGACTTAGCATTTAGTCAGTTAAATTAGTGTTGATCAGAACCCGCTTTTTGATTTGGCTAACATTTTTCTTCTTTTAAAGTAAAAATATCTCTATATTAGATTCAGAGCTAAAAATTCTGAAACTTACTCGTATTTTTCAAGGAATGATATCATTCTTCGCGCTTTTTATTATGCTAATGACCATTATAGTTCACGTATCTCTGACAATACAATTTCAAACGAGTGACTCATCGATAATGCAACCGTACTATAACGCATTTGTTTCTCCATATACATTGAAAAACGACTGCAATGCTAATACAGTATATTGCTTCAATAGTGAAGATTGCTTTAATAAATGTTCTGTATTTTATAAAATGGAATTCGCATGTTTGAAAGGCGTATGTAAAATCGCTCAGTCAGAAGAGCTACAAAACAAATGCAGTTTAGAAAAAGGAGTTGCTCCGTATTTAATAAGTGTACCGGAGTTGAGATCTCTAGATTGGCTATGTAAATCAATAGATTTAGGCATTGTAAAGTATGACAATAAAAAGAAATATGTCAACGTTATGTGCAAAGGAGGAACTATTTCAACAAATTATACTGATGGATATCCTCAACAACACGATTGTACTTGCCCTATCTCAATGGTATACGGAATAGTGCCAGCAACAGATCTCAAACGACAGCACGTTGAGTGTGTTGCGGAAAATAATCGTTGGATCTATGAAACTAACCAATTGATTTATAATAGATGAACGAAAAGTTATCATTAGATTGTCGGTACAGTAATATTACACTGTTGTTTGTATGCACTTGATAATATTGAAGTTTGTATTATGAAGTAGAAAAGAGCTTTTTGTATTGAGTAATTACAAATACACTCGGCTACCCTAATACTTTTCTTTTATCATAAAAGCAATTGCCAACTGAGAAAGATTTTTTTCGAAAAAATTTTTTCAATCAGTAATTTTTGAAAGATGAGTCGTATTCGAAATGATTTGCCATATTAATAAAATTTCTAAAAACAACGAATTCATTCATTTATGTTTTGCTCATACTCGGTGAATTGGAAATTTGATAAAAAAAACGTAAGATGATCATAGCTACATAGAACGATTGGTCAAGCTATTATAGCTAGATTTTTTGGTACCAGCAACTCAGACTGGCGCTCGTAATTTATACTAGGAATTATTAAAATCACTTTTTCCTCATAAAAATTAGAATTGACATACTGTTTATCTTACAAGGAAACATCGTAAGGTGGTCACCGTCGATTTAGCTGAGGCTTCTATATAATAATCTACGTCGAAAATGATGAACCTCGTATTTTTTTTCTGCGGAAAAACGTTTGAAAGGGGTGAAAATCACCCCCAAGTTGACACCCTATAGAGGTAAATTATATTTTTCACATATTTCTGGTCGAAATTTTTCAAAACGCCTTTATGAGTTAAAAAAACACAAAAAATGATAAAAAAACCTTAATTCACATACTTATAAAACTTGCGGAAAAACATTTTTTTTATTAAAAAAAACAGAAAAACTATTCCTTCAAAACTATAAATTAGTTTTTAATGAGACCAATTTTATTTAAAAGAGCATAAAAAATAACGAGGTACGTGTGTTTGCAATTTTTAAAATAACATCAGAATCGATTCCAGAAAAACTTTTTTTTTTCGAAAAAATCTATAACTCAAAAACTAAAAATTATTCTTCGATGGGACCAACTTCAATCGAATGAGTGAAAAAATTTACGACATTCGTGTTTTTGCAATTTTTAAAATAACATTAACGACAGTAAACAAAATCGCAAGTTAAAAATTTTTAATTGTCATTGATTAATTATTTATCGTCACAATAATCACCGAATCAAATACGTCGTAATCAGAGACTGCGTAGTTTATGATTAGTCAACACATTATTTTTTGTTATCGTCATGTGGGTAAACATAGATATAATTCTTATCACAGTCACAGATAAATGATTTATGAGGAAAATAATTCTTGTAATAGTAATATACGGATTATTCAATGCAAGCATTTGGAACGAATGTGACATATTTTAATTATTTGAAAAATTGTAACATTATTTTTTCGCATTCATCTTTGATACTGTAGTAAATGGATATTTTTGCGTCATTTTGATAGTCATTATTCTCTGTGTGTATAAAATCGTGTGCTCGGAATAGAAATATTGTTATCTTTTATTCTAAAAATTGTGTAACACTCAATAGTTAAAAATGAAAGTTAACTCCCTTAATGTTAATTTGTTACTTGTAACAACACTTCAAATTATAAAAATTATGGAAACACCTATGAATGATGCTGAAATACAATTAAAAAATTACTTTAAACAAATGTTATTTAATGCAATAAATGGGTATACTGATATCGAAATGATGGAAGAGAATTCTTTACATTTTCGAAAACCATATGAGGATTGGAAACCAGAAATTATAGAAGACAAAGAATATGCATCTGAAATCCATAAACCAAAAGTGTCTGATGGAGCATGTACTACTGATGAAGAGAGCATGACTATATATTGAGAGCAGTTGATATTGGCAAAGTGGTAAAAAAAGAATTTAAGTATCGATAGTGTTAAGCAAAAATTTAGATATGTACAGTCTACTCGACAATTAAAACGCTGGGCACATCAATTGAACCAAGGTGGAACATACAAATAGAAAATATCTCAAATTTGCAAATATACATTGGAAAATTTTAAAACTGCTATCGATGCTGAGATGATAGTCCATGATTCCGGTTTAAAAAAATGGGCATTAGTACCTAAAGAAAATTTATAATTTGATGATTTCTATTTACAAGCATCTTCAACGTGAATACTATCATTCAAAAGAGCTCATCGTATTGTTTCTCGTTAAATTAACAAATTCATATCATCAAAAACGATTGAAGATCGTAAAATGTTAAAACAAACTTCAGAAGTGTTCGTTAACGATGTAGAATCAAAAATTCAATCATATGGTTCAGACGACATATATAATTTTGATCAAAGTGGCTTTTAATTCGAAGTACATTAAGACAGGACTTTAGCTCCAGAAGGAGAAGAAAAATAGAGTGCACAGTTCAATCAGTTTCTTGGACAACTTACAATTATACTATACAACCAACGGTATCAGCTGATGGAAAAGTTCTCACTCCCCTTTTTCTTGTGTTGAAAGAACCAACTGGAAACTTGGTCCACAGGTATGAGCATCGCTTTACAGACCAGATAATGTACACGTAGAAATATCGAAATCAGGAAAACTTACTTCAGGTGAAAAATTCAATTCAAATATTATATTATATGATATATTCTAGAAGTTTTTTGAATGAAAGGTTAGGAAGGACTTGATTAAGCCAATTGAAGACACAATGATTATCCAAAACTGAGTTGATACAACACTCTAATAATCACTAAAATAATTTTTATATGCGTAAACGAGTATACAGAAATTTTATGAATACAAAAGAAGCGTGTCGTGACACCAAGAAGCTCCACGAAAAAGTGAGTAAAGTCGTTCAGGAAACAATCCCACCAACCAGAAGGGAGAGCTAGTGTCGTGGGTCTTATGCACCTCACGACACCCAAAGATGTCGTCACCGAAGTCTAAACCTCAACACTCCCCCCCCCTTTGTTGGTTGTGACATTCTTAAGATTTATCTGAAACATAAAAAGTAGATAGACTATGAGAGTTCTACCGCACATTTTTTTTTTGGGTTGCTCCGGTAGAACTCTCATAGCTGTGCACGCTAAAGTGAGGGGTGAAGGTGTCTCTAAGGCTTTCATGGTAGAAAGCTGTAAACGTGAAAAGTGAGGAGGTAGGGGGTGTCTCTAAGGTTTTGCCGGTAGAACTCTCATAGCTGTGCACGCTAAAGTGGAGGGTGAAGGTGTCTCTAAGGTTTTTTGTGGTAGAATCCACTGTAGACGTGGAGGAGTTCTTGAATTTTGTTGGGGGGTTGAGGGGGGATTCCGGTGTGGGGTTGAGGGAGAATTCTTGAGGTAATGTGTCAAACATAGATGGGGAAATCTAATTATTAGAAAAGGGCATGCAGCTGCATGTCCTGTATTCAAAATTAGGCAGCTTTCTTTGATAACCTATAAGAGAATAGATTTGAAAAGAAAATTTTATCATATGAAAAATATATATAGGAAAATCTAAGCATAGCCTTAGACGTGCATAGACATGCAGCTGCATGTCCTCAATTCGATATTGAGCAGCTTTCTTTGATAACCTATTAGAGAATAAATTTAAAAAGAAAATGCATAATCTTAAGTTGCTATGATATCTAGAAAAATGTCCTGTGGGGGAAAACACGAGTAGGGAGGAAAAAACCTACCCTCTATTTATTGGGAGATTTGTTTTCAAAAATCACCAGTCTTGCTTCAGACATAAGTCCTGTAAAATTCTATGATCAATATGAGAAAGTGGTTAATAAGTGATCAGTTTTACAAGTTATACATTCAAAATAGACTTGCGTTAAATCAGACGTTATGTGCAAAAATTAAACAAACTGTGCCAGAAGTGTACTTAGAATTAAAAAAACTAAAAACCAGGAATCATTGCTGGTGGATTGGCTTCATATTTATTGGGATATACTAACACATATACAGATATCGATTATTGGATTATTCATCATGAATGTTTTATATATTTATATATATGTACGTGAATTGTGCATTTCTGTTGCAAAAAATTTTATGCTTTATACATTTATGTGACTTTACTACATTTATGTGACGTCACATAAATGTAAAACATAGGAATTGGGCATTTGTGTAACGTCACAAAAATGTACAAATTAAGACGTCCATTATTTTTTATGCTTTGTACATTTATGTGACAAGAATGAAATTTTTTTTAGCAAGTTTCCAAGATTTGTTCGACGAAATAGGCAGGATAAAAAACAATTATTCTTTTTCCTCAACTATCGCAATCATTTATCGGTTATTCAACTATATCTGAAAGAATGAACGAGATTATGACTATCAGCAAATCGAAAACATTAGACAGGATAAATGACTTCTAAGACCAGACGACTATGGGATATGATCTTAGAGGTTATTATCGAAGTTGTTAATGTAGAATTCATAACTAACATAATGTTTAAAAGTTTTTACAAATTAGGCTTTTAGGCAACTTCACAAAAATCCCTATAAATGATTTAATATTGAATGAAATGGCTATAATATAATGACAAAGAAAATGATCGACTCCGTTAACATTCGTTGTTTATCCGAAAGATTCTATTTCTCGTTTTAATTTGAAGAAAAATTGAGACAAAACCGAAAAACATTATAGTAAGATTTAAATCAATAATCTGTCGCTCCATAGTCTGAACAACTTATCAGTTATCCAAAGATACTTAAGGATGAAATATTATTCTATCATAGGTTCATAATCCATCAATAAATTACGTATGCATCATTTGTACTTTACATATGAGAAGATATCTATTCAACAGATAAAAAAAGTTTGTAATCGTATAATAGCTCAGTATTCGTGTTGCTATTGTGTATTTTTTAAAGTACATGGTATTAAAAAGTTTAAAAGAATTGTACATTTATGTGACATCAAAAAAAATCAGACTGTTGAATTTTTCTAAACAAAAAAATTTTTTATGCTTTATATGTAATCGCGGAATCAAGAATGCACTATAAATAGATTCTAACTCTACAAAGTGATTGAAGACAGAAAAATATGATATAAGGCATAAGGAATCCCCAGTATCTACCACGATCCTCTATGGCGCATGAAATAGACTATGATCGACTTGTTACGTTTCTCAAACAACATTCATAACACAGTTTACGTCCTAATTTATTTGATATATCAGGCAAGAATAAATAATGGGATATTTTTTTTAATAAAAAAGACCATTTTCCGTGATATGATAGAAAAGGATTTGTGATGTCATTGTTTATTTCATAAAGTACATGATATATAGAAGTTTTGAGTATTGTACATTTATGTGACACCACAAAAAATC